GTCTACGCCACAGTCCCCCAGCTTCCTAATGAGAATGGGGTGAGAGACAGTATCAAAAGCCTTCCTGAAGTCTAGGAAAACTATATCCACTGCCACCCCTGCATCCAATGATTTAGTGACCTGGTCGTAAAAGGCCACCAGGTTGGTCTGACAGGACCTGCCGCTGATGAACCCATGCTGGTTGCCCCTGAGCATGCCGTTCCCTGCTGGCCCCTCCTGGATGCGTGCCAGAATAATTTTCTCGAACAGCTTGCCCAGGATCGAGGTAAGGCTGACTGGCCTGTAGTTCCCCGGGTCCTCTTTTCTCCCCTTTTTGTAGATGGGAACCACGTTGGTCCTCTTCCAGTCCTCCGGCACCTCTCCAACTTTAGTTGGTCCCTTAGCCAAGGCCCACTGTCCTAGAGGCTTCTGGCCTCCAGCCATAGTTACACCCTATCAGCCTCTAGCTTAGCCCCTCTTGGGCTTCAGGTCCCTGGCCCTGGCTCTCACCTGTCTTAGGCCTTGGTTCTGCCCTTCTCAGGCTTTGGGCCCCTGGCTCTATCTCAGCCTCTCTCAAGCATGGAGACTGCTTCAGCTTTTGCTGAACCCTTGGCCACTATTTCCACCCTTCTTGGGGCTCTGGGCCCTCTGGCCTCAGTCTGTACCTTGAGCCTGACCCCTGGTAGGGCTCAAGGTAGTCACATACCTTTTAGACACTCCGCTCTGGGTTAAATCCCCAGGCACCCTGCCATAGGTTAAGCCCCCAGGCACCCCACCGGGGCTTCTGCTTACCGCCCTATAACCCAGGAATAAGCCTTCTGGCAGACAGAAGCTAAGCCCTGTCTAGGTCCAAACATGTATAATGGCTACCTGCCTGCATACCAAGGTTTCACTTACCCCAGGTACTGTTCCCCTGTGGGGCATCTGCGCTGTCTCAGGTATTTGCTCAGGTGCTACTAGGGTGCTAGATACTGAACTGATTTTTTTGATACATGTGCATCATGATATTTAACTCCTTATAATATCATGATGATTATGATTGATCAGTTCATGTATCTGGTACTATACTGATTAAACTAATGATGCTGAAACTTAGTATGTTTTCATTAACAAGCTCTGTTTCATGCCATTGATCCTGTTGCCTTCATTTATGTGCCAGAAATACAGAAGTAATCATAGTCTGTGGCAATGATTGTATACTAGATTTCTATAATATGTCTGAACGAGAGGTGTCAAGGCTACCT